AATTTGAGTTCAACTCATCGAAGATCCATAAATGATCTGTTTGTGTTTGAGGAATATGGCTACACCGCTTTCTGATAAACTTAGAGTTTCTTCTCAAGATTACTCCATTACAGTTTTTAACAATATATGACCTAGGAACATTAGATAATTTTTCCACAATTACTGCTGGGTACCACCTGTTATCTGTGTCAAGAAGCCATATGTTCTCACCACTGTGGTAATCTTCTTTAGATTTTGCTGTTTGATCATAATTATGTTTGACTTTGTCAAGATGATTTTGCCTTTTAACTTCTACATTAACTGTCTCAGGTTTTAAAACTTTTTCACTAATAGGAATTTGAGTTCTCAGGACTCTTCCCATTAACATTTGAGCAGGAGATGCGCCTAATTCAACTATGGGAGCATTGTTATATTCTAGAATTGCTAAATCTAAGTCACTTTTCCTTTCTAACACTTTTCGCAAGAGTGATTTTGCCCTTTTCACAGCTGATTCGGCCATGCCGTTAGATTGAGGGTACCTCGGAGACGAGTTAACGATTGTAAAATTAAATTGATCAGCAAATTGCTTTACTTCAAAAGATCCAAATGGTTGGTTTTCTGCGACAATTTGTGCTGGAATACCATGAGTTCTAAACATTTCTTTTAAAACTGTGACAACTTCAGAGGCTGTCTCATTCCTAAGATGCTTAATTTCAAGCCATTTGGAGTGATAGTCAGTTACAATTAAATAATTTTTCTTTTGAAATTCAGCGATATCTGCTCCTAACTTATGAAATGGAATTGTTGGAACAGTGTGAGGAATTAGCGGTTCTTTGACATTTTTGGGGCTAAATTTATTACATACAATATATGCTTTGACATAATTTTCAATATCGGACACATACCCAGGCCAGTAACATATGAGTTTAGCTTTCTCTATGGTTTTCCCTGTTCCTAAGTGGGCGTTGCCATGTAACAACTTTAAATAGCTAGGCCTTAGTATTGTTGGTATGACTATTCGGTTTTTAAAATACAATATCTCATCATTAATTGTTAGATCAAATCTTATTTTGAAAAATGGCTGGAGCATTTCTACATTGCATTTAGTCCAGTCTGTCATAAGCAATTGCTTGACCTGATTAATGAGAGGATCATTTAGAGTAGCGTTTTGAAGTTCTAAGAATTTTACATTGAACAGCTGAAATTTAACACCCACACAGTGAACAACACCATTCAGTTGAATTTCATCCTCAGGTTTATTACTAACAATAAAGTTTCGTGACAAAAGATCAGCTAGGAGATTATCTTTTCCCGGTATGTACTTAACTTCTAAATCATATGGAAGCAATTCCAGCAAAAGACGCTGCAATATGTTGGACATTATTTGAGAGATATTCTTTTTATAACTCGGCTCTAGTGGTTTGTGATCGTTTTCAATTAAGATTTTAAAACCATAGACCATGTTGTGAAAACGTTTTACCGCAAATACAATACTGAGTAGTTCTTTCTCTATTTGAGCGTAGCGCGTTTCAGCATCTGATAAGTTCCTTGACGCAAATGCAACCGGCTTTTGATTCTGGAGCAGACAGGCTCCAAGACCAAATTGTGAAGCGTCACATTGAATAAGAATTGGCTTTTTGGGATCAAAACTAGTCAGATTGCTGATGGCGCACACTGCTTCCTTGATTTTATTAAAACTATCAGAATAAATTTGTTGCCATGTAAACATAGAATTTTTTTTCAATAGTCCCCTAAGCGGAGCAACTAGATCTGCTAATTTTGGGATGTGTTCCCTTACATAATTGATGGTTCCTAAAAAACTTTGTAGCTCTTTCCGGTTTCTGAGATTCTTTAATTGCAAGATTGCTTCAAGATAATTAGGATTCGGAGAGATACCTTCACCACTAATAACATGCCCCATATAATTGATCGTAGGTTTCTTGAATTGGAATTTATTTTTATTAAATTTAATATTGAGCGATTCAGCCCTTTTCATCACTTCTTTAAATGCAATACCATGTTCCTCTTCCGTTGACCCAGCAATGAGGATATCATCGAAATAAATAACGACATTAGGAATGTCTCCAAAATATTTGGTTAATAATTTTTGAAAGATCTCAGGAGCGCACACAATGCCAAAAGGTAATCTTAGAAACCTATAACTACCGAAGGGTGTGTGAAACCCCATTAACTTCGATGCTTCATGTGTAAGTCTACAATGCCAGAATCCATCCTTAATATCCAGCACTGTAAAAACGTTTTTTCCAGCTAGTTTAGGTTGAATCTCTTCGAATGAGGGTATGAGAAATAATTCTCTCCTAATGTTTTTATTTAAGTTCCTTGGATCAAGGCAGATTCTGATCGAATGGTCGTCCTTTTCCACAACAACTAAATTACTATACCATGCAACATCAGAGACATCATTAGATATTATATTAGAGATTAGCAAGGTTTCTAATTTCTTCTTTAAAGATGGTAAAATTTTATGCGGCAACCTCCTGGGAGGATCATTGGAAGGTACAGAATTAGGATTAACAAAAACATCAACTAGATCAGGAAAAGTTCCGAGACCTGTAAAGGAATTAGGAAAATTAATAAGCACTGCTGCTTCATCTTTGAAGGCTGAAACATAATCAACTTGTTCTTTAACAATGAGACCTAGATCAACGCAGGTTTTTAAACCTAAGAGAGGCACAGTGCCTGCTTTGGTTACAGTAAATAAAATTTTGTATAATACATTTTGACCAGGTAAACTGCAATTCAAAAGTACATTACCAAAGGTTTCGATTGGAGTACCGCCGTATCCCAGAATGATCGATTTATTTGGCGTCAGCACATTATCCGCATTCTTGACCTTTTGAAAGATGTAGTTGGGTAGAATGTTGATTTCCGCACCTGTGTCCAGTTTGAAGTCAACGAAGGAGTTGTTCACACGAATGTTCTGCATCCAGAATTTGACTGAACTACTTGGTGTATCGTTGATCGCATGGACTACTTGGGTATTGGTTGAATCCTGTGTGTGAGATGTGCTGGCGGTTGCTGACTCACTCAAATTCACCGACATTTCAGGAGAAACACTAGTTTTGTTTACAACACTTGGAGACATGGGCATCACAGATCAATGATTATCACAATTGACTAGAACATTTTGCTTCACGGAGCAATAATTATCATTAATTACTAGAACATTTTGCTTCACCGAGCAATTAGAATTTAGTGGATTTTGCATGTCGGAGCATTTGTTAATGTCACTTAAGGAATTTGCTTCAGCGCAATTATTAAAAACACTTAAGGAATCATGCTTCTCGGAGCAATAATTAAAATTTCCACTTATCGGGATGGGTTTTTCAAAGCAAAAATTCGAGACAAAGAACGGATTATGCTTCCTGGAGCTATCATCTATAACACTATTAGGGTTACGCTTTTCGGAGCTGTCATTCGGACAAATTACAGGTTGAAGCTTCTCGGAGCTAGGTAAGGAACGATCAACAACAATTTCATCGATTATTACAAAATCTTGTGCATCAATGTAATTGGCATAATTAGAATTAAACGGGATAGAGGCATTAATGGAAGATGATGCTAAATTTACTGTATCAGCTGAGCGCTGAGCAGGAGCACTAGAGGAAGGTTTAGAGCGCGTTTCACAGACACTTGCGAAGTGATTAAAGAACCCGCACTTTCAACATCTTTTGCGGAAGGCCGGACACTGACGAATAGGATGAAGTTGTCCGCAGTTTTTACAGTTGATCTCACTCACTTGCTGCAGATTTTCTTGGGGTTGAGTTGAGCTGGTTCTTCCTTGCTTGAAGGTACTCGCAGAGTTCTGATGACGATTATTAAAACTGTTTCGCTGTTTGCTGGAGTTGGGTCTAGGCTGATATTTGATGTAATGGACCTGATTCCCATTGGACACTTCATTTGCTCTTTGATTCCCAGTTTCCACAGAACGACAAATCTTGACTACCTTGTCTAAATCAAACTCTTCACCGAGGAGCCTTTCTTGCACCGTTTTGTTGTTGATCCCAACAACTAATCTATCACGAATGAGTTCCGCTTTCAGAGTTCCAAAGTCGCAATCATCGGCTAACTTCTTAACCGAGAGAAAGAAGGCCTCGAATTCCTCCGATTCCTGCTCACAACGGGAGTTAAACAGAAACCGCGAATAAACAAAGTTTTTCTTAGGTTTGATGTAAGAGTCTATCGCTTGAATGATGTTTGAAACTTTCGAACTTTGTGCTTCGGATAAATTTAACGTGTTTAGCAATTCACAAGCCTCCTCACCAACGATATTCTTAAAGATAGCGACCTGGACCGCATCGCTTTTCGCATCTAATTCGTACCCGATAGAATAGTTCTTGTAACTTTCTTTGAACCGTTTCCAATTTTCGCTAAGAGATCCCGATAGTTCTAGAGGTGATGGCACTCTCAACTCCATTGTTAAAATTACCGAACAAGAGCACACATAAAATGGAACAAAAGAACAAAAATCGAAATGAGGCTAAAATTGATTAAAACTGGTTATTTAAAACTTCATGATCGAATCAGCACAGCGTGCGTGCGGCGTGCTGGCACAGTTGATGGCTGTCACTTATCCTTCTTGATCCTCGTCGCCATGTTTGTAGGTGTGAAGGTGGTGGGCTGGAAAGCAAGACTACGAAGCCATTATCACGCTTGAACACTTTTATTTAACGAAAGTGACACACAACCATCAAAGATATAAAAAGACCAAAAAGACACGCAATACAAGGTTCATACCGCCATGATGGTCGGCTCACGAATGACGGTTGTTGTCATCGATGGCTGGTGAGCCACCGACAACCCCAACAAGTTGCTGTCATTTTTTATTGACCTGAAGATTCTCCATGGAGTACAGAGTCCATACTTCCTCAGGTCTCTTATGTTTTCTCTGCCTCGTCTACAGAAACATGGAGTTAGTTAAATAAAATGTATTTGAGCAAATAAGGTTTCAGTACGAAGAATGCTCTATAAATAAAGACTATTGAATATTCGATGTTTACCTGAGAGCACCATCGGAAGTTGGGATCTTGCATTAAAGTGCGATCACGCAGCTTCCTCTGGAATAGTTCATGTACTTGAGGTTGCAGAAAAGACTTAAGCCAAATATCCAAGTTTGAGAAGTAATTCATGGCGTAGTCTGAACTTTGAGTCCTCAAATTAGGTTCTTTACAGAAAGGGCATACACAGTCATTGATGCTATGTTCGGTGATTTGAAGCGTAAAGTACTGCAAAGCACAGCCTCGGCAGCAGAGGTGTTCACAGGATAGCATGGAAATCATCTAGAGAGGAAGCCACAAACTTTTAGATAATAATTAAAACTACATGGTATACTGTCCCAAAATCACTAACGATTAGACCGGTGCTGTAACTTTTGAACAACGGCAGCTAGAAAGCTGATGTAGGTTGCGTTTGAAAGAAAGATTTACTCGTCATGTGTATATTCCAAACTCAGCTTATGTCTAAAGTACTACAATTTCTGATGTCAGGACTGCAAATCTTCCAAACAAGTTGTGTCTAATGTCATTCATTCATTACTCAACCAATATCAAATTGCGCGTATTTCTTAATTTGATCAGTTGCGACTTTGAAAGTCGTTCTAAACGGTAGCTGTGCCTGTTTGATGAGACTATAAATTTCTATATTATAAACCGTTGCAAGTACGCCTAAGGCAAAGATACATATGTCAACTGACATCAGCTTTTTCAAACTCGTGTGTTTAATTAAAACTGAATTTCATAGCAAATTGCCCAACTTTGATCTTGTCTTTTCTAGTTAACGACAAGTTAAATTTCCTGGTAAAGTCCAGAGAAAACGCTGAAGTAATTTTAGCTTTTCTATTCTAATCTTTCGATTCCTTCCCTTCAAAAAAGGGATAGAAGATTAACAGCAGGGCTTGTTTTATTATATTTTTTCAAAGGAGGATTCCAATAGCTTGAGTTGGCGCCGACCGGTGCATGTTGACAACACCATCCCTGGGAGTCTTCATCAGGTGTCATTGCGGATGCGCCGGTACAAGTCGAGTAAGTTCTGTTGTACCTTTTTACGATGATGTAAATAAATATCTGTTAAGAGGGGATTATATCAACTTCAAGAGTGCTACTTAACTCAACCTCGACTACCAAACAGTCAAAAGAGGAATCAGCGATATGGGAACTATCAACAAAAACCTAAATGGCGAGATCCCGAGTCATACTTGGACGTATTTCTATCAAAGAGAACTATGTGCAGAGGGAAAGATGGGCTGTGCTCGTTCGTGCTCGGGCCATAAGAATGAATGGGAAATATAAAGCGCCAGTGACGAATCCGCCGCTCCAATTGCCGGACTTCCGCTTTAGCTCATGAGCCCTGTCCACAAGGCTCTAGATACATGCCCACGGCTCACACACTGTGCACATATTTCCGTTTGACAGAACGTGAAATCGATCCTGCTTCTCCAATTCAGCAAACGGAACTGTGAGCCAATTGAGTGCGGCACCCATGAGCCGTGGGCATGTATCTAGAGCCTTGTGGACAGGGCTCATTAGTTAAAAACCGCCTTCCCGGTCGTCGTTGCCGCTGACGTCACTGGCGCTTTATATTTCCCATTCATTCTTCTGGCCCGAGCACGAACGAGCACAGCCCATCTTTCCCTCTGCACATAGTTCTCTCTGATAGAAATACGTTCACTTCATAACTTCCTCGCACCATTTTTCTGAGTATATTTATTAATGTGGATAAAATTCTTCCGAGAGTCTTATGTCATTAGGTGCTTTTATCTACGCTATACAAATACGATTCAAATCCATGAAAGCAAAAATAGAAATGGAGAGGCAGTGCTCACAAGTTCCTCATTGTAAGAGGATTTGTATTATAATCGTACTAGGTATACTCAAATTGAAATTATGGGCGCTTATTCCTACCCTCAAGCGTTATCAGCAGCATGGGGCCCTGGTTTTGCTGTGAACATTTATGGAAAGAATTTGTCTCTTCCCTCTTCGTGTCTTTCTTCAACTAACATCCATTACCGATGCGAATTATTTCTTTTAATTAACGTCTCCTGGGTTGAGTTTCGTAAAGGGATTATCAGCATCTGTTAATGAAATTTGAAAAATTGATAACAAAATAGTTTTCTTACTTGGTTGGCCGGATAAATGCTTGCACATAACAAGCATTCTTGTTGTAAAAATGCAAGAGCCATGTCTATGTTGCTGCATTCTTTGGCTGCAGATAGACAAAGATCTTTGTCAAAATTCAGTTCAAGCAAATGGACAACCAATTTTGCTTGCTCAAAATTTGAAACTTCCCCTTCAGCCAGTAATCTATGTGCGTTCCGCTAATGGAATGACAAAAAATAAAAAAATTAATAAAAAATTTGAGAATTCTCGCTAAAAAGCCTATCCACCATACAAGACCAAAACATTGAAACTTACGTTCCTATCATAGTTCTTTACTTTCCACCATGTTGAAGGACTCATACATAATTAATATTTAAGACCGAAAGGACAAAAAAATGATCATGAGCTCATAACAGGTTGAGCAAACAAAGCACTGGGCCCATTAAAACTCTCTTTACACTAGAGTTCTAATATTTTGGTTTGTTCTTCTCGTTGTTGTTCTTCACACTCTAAGAGGAGGACTTCAAAGAACTTCAGGAGACGCTGCCAAAAGTCATTTTTCATGATAAGCGTATGATTGAAAAGACCATAATAACGAAGCAAACTATCAGAACTTTCAATTATTTATATTGTTCCTTCATCCAATAAAAAGGTAAAGATATGTTGAAACGGTTATAACAAACATATATATCGTAGCTTATTCTCGATCTGATTAATAAACTCAGACTATGATGATCAATAACACAATAAAAATAGTAATCTCAAATATAAAGGAGAACATTATAAAACTTCATCTACAAAGATGTATTACTAATACTAACAACATACGAAATATCAGCTTAATGTGTATTTTAAATTAATTAGAGTTCACGAATATTGGAACAAAATTGATTAATTTGGATGAGTCAAAAGTTCTATGACTCTGAAATTTTAATAACCCGTCTCCTCAATTATAATATCTAATTCTTTAAACTTCTAATCTCCGTAAATTAAAATTAAACATCGATAAAAGATTGGAATAGCTTAAAATGGATTCTTCCATTGTTTTAATAATAACTTTTATTCAAACAGAAGTAATACATTTCATCAATTTAAAATTATTGATGAATTAATATAATCGTTGACATGTGTCCGAATTATATTCATTAACATTGAAAATCCAATAATATTCTCCGTTATCATTTAAATGAAAAAATATCTAAATGTGTGGTTTTCTAAATTTAGTGTTGCAATGGACAAAACATTATGGTAATAATTCCTTCTGACACATACGTGCTCAACAATAACTAAGTCATTTATGATATGAGTTTTAGGAATAGAATAAATGATCTTGATGGTATAAGAGGTATGTAACTGCATATGCCGTGTTTATTTCTGTCATCTTAATTTTAACAGTTTACCTAAAGTTTTGATTCTGTGATTCAAAGACACTCTATCTGTTAAAAAGATTTTTACTCCTAAGTGGGAAAATTAGTACTTTACAAACATAAATTAGTTGATTGATAAATTGGTGATTGCAGTAGTTAAGTTTTTTTATAATTACAAGATTGGTTAAACCTTGGAGCTAAGTTCTGTTTCTGTTTCTATTCCTTATTTTTAAGAGTTTTTCTTGTGTACATTGGTAACTCTTATTTTTGTACCGGAGTGGGCGAAAGAAACGCTCAATATGCCCTAAAGTTTTATTGAATTAAAATGTGTCGATGTCTTAATCATCTCACAGAGGGAAATCTGTCCGTGAGGCTACGACCCTCCTCACCCGAAATATCAACATTTTCAAATGGGTACCCCCCACTTATGACAACTTAATAATTAAAGTTTGAAGGAGTTTTAAACTTTTTTTTGTGTGTGTGAGAGGGTATGTGAGAGGGTGTGTGTGTGTGTGTGTGTGTGTGTGTGTATTTGTTTGTTTGTGTGTAGGATGACTAAGATATATAATTCAACACTAGGCTATTAGACGCATATTTCGAAATGAATTAATTTGATCCTCTTATCTAATTAGGTTTTTTATGGTTTATAAAATTCCGATTTTGAGATTTTTAAGATGGACTATAAAAAATTTATTGATGACGATATATTGTACAGAAGTGCGTTTGGTAATACTTATCGGTATTTTTAAATTAGGAAAAGATTGCAGAGTTGTTGAGACTATTATAAAATGCGTTATAGTTCAAGTGTTTTCTTTCTTGCACGTACTTATTTTCATCGTTTTTCATTGATTTAATTTAATTCATGTAAATAGGTCACGATTGATAGTTGGTCTTTTATTTATGATTAGACTCTCACCTTTCTATTGCTGAGTAATCTGTATTTTTGGTAAGAATGTTAAGAATGTTTCAAAGTGGTCACTGCGAATGGATGCAGGATTAAATTGTCGAGACTCCAAACTTCCACACTAAAGTTCTGTGAAGTGATGAAACAACCTTCAAAAATGACAACACGATCAACATCCATAACCATGAGTTCCATGTAATCCATAACCAATTCCTGTTTCACATGAAAAATTATCTTCGGTTGTAAATTTTTCGATAATTTTTGAAGAACGGAAGTATTCTGCGCTAAAGAGACCAACAGGGCACGACTCCCTCCTTGTTTGGCCTCGAATGGGACATGGGGAACTTCGGACTGTCCGAATTCGTGTCTCTCACATTAATTAAGCCCGAATTTTCAATTTTTTCGAGTGTTTTCCGATGATTTTGAGAAAACTGGCGTTTTCTCGGCGAACGGACCTACGCCCCCTCCCCGCGTGGCCCTAAGGAGCTGTTAATTGTGGGACTCTACAACTTAGAAATTTATGTTTTTCATGGGAAGTTACCCAGAGATACAATTTTTCCGGACGTTTTCCCATAGTTTTGAAGAGAGCTAGGATTTGGTGCGAAGGGGACATACCGGGCCTGCGCCCTCTCCCCGCGTGGCCCTTGGGAGCTGTTTTAGGACTCTAATACCTAGAAATTGGTGTTTTTCTTAGAGGAATACCCTGGGTTTGAAATTTTTCCGGATGTTTTCCGATAGTTTTTAAGAAAACTAGTATTTGGCGCGAACGGGATAAATAGGGCTCGGACCCTCACCCTACATGGCCCCGAGCATTTTTTGAGCACTAGAACCAAAAAATTCGTCTTTCCCGTGAAAAAAAACCCTAGCTTGCAACTTTTACAGGGATTTTCCGTCAATTTTGAAGAAAGCTAGCGTTATGCGCGGAGAGCTTAAGCATGGTAATCACCCTTTTCCAGGGGCTCTAATTCGGGTCAAAATTGAGCTTTGGAAAATTTTCTTTTTGATTCTCTTGAAATTTTGCGTAGATTTCATTTTTGAACGAATCTTGCCACATTCTCCCCGCGATTTCAAGATACACCCCCCCCCCCCAAAGAAAAAAAAAAATACCCCCCAAGGAGGCTGGAGGGCTCCCGAAAACATGACATTCTAATTCCTCGGGGTTGATTTCTATACAACTAACCACCTTTCAGAACCCAGAAACCACTTTTTCTTCGGAAAAAAGGCCTGGTACGGTAGGTCTGGGCCATATCATATACAGGGTTATCCAAAAGTCCTTTTAAAGAAATGGATTTGCATGAAATTCGATATCCTGGTGGTTTTTGGCTGGATAAAAAATCTTTCATCAATTCTTAAAATACTAAATAATCAATATCGCATTTCATGCAAATCCATTCGTTAACAGCCGTAAAACTGACTTCTCGCCACTTTTCCGCCGCCATTTTGAAATTCGTCGGAATTTCAGATATCCAATGAAAGATTCGTGCTTCTCGTGCCGAAATACCCTCGGATACCAAGTTTCATGCAAATCCAACGATAAGCAGCCTAAATATCCACTTCTCGCTCTACGCCGCCATTTTGACCGCCGCCATTTTGAAAAGGACTGACTTTTCTGGAAAACCGATGCCAGAATCGTTTTTCTCGTCCCAAAAAACCCTAGGATTCTGAGTTTCAGACCAATCCGCCGATAAAAAACGGAGATGCCAAATTTCCGCCATTTTGAACTTTGACCCGCCTCCATTTTGTCAAAAATCAACATTTTGACCTGCGGTTTGCGCCAAAAATTTTCTTTTTTTATTATCTTTCGAATGAGGTATCACAAAGGGGGGGTTGGTATTTGAAAAAAAAAAAAGTTAGCCCCCGCCCCCCTTAGGGAAGAGCGGCCCCCAAAATTTTGGGGGAACCAAAAAGTTGCTACCTTAGACCGAGGAACATTCCCAAAGTTTCAAACTTCTATCTCAATTTGGAAAAAAGTTACAGGGGTGGTCAGTGCCTTTTGGATAACCCTGTATATATATTCCCAATTATAAGGATAGGTCTACAAGGTAAGGTAAGTTTCAAAACCTTTCAGATTTTTACTTTAATTCAGCTACTGCTGATAGTCTATCCTGGACAAATTATGATACTGACGGTATACGCCACACCTAAAAGTCTGTACAAGGTAGTCATCATCGTCCTCTGAGACGGCTCATCAAAAAGTTCGAAAATTAGCAGCTACAAGCTGCTTAGATACCTAATACATTTGTGATGCATTTTTCCGCCATTCAATCTTTTTCGGCTGCATGGTCCTGAATGTGAAAAAAGTAGAAGAAAAAATGTTGAATGACAATGAATATAAAAAAATTCACACGGTGGATTGTTGACGATGTTGTGAAATATTTCTAAATTCTCAATGCCGGGTTATCCAAAACTCATTTACCACCCCTGTATCTTTTTTCCTAATTGACATAAAGATTTGAAACTTTAGGGGTATTTCTCGGTCTAAAATAACAACTTTTCAATCCCTCCAAAATTTTGGGGGATGGCCCCCTCTAAGGAAGGCGGTGGCCAACTTTTATTTTATAATGGCAACTCCTTATTTAAGACACCTCATTCGAAAGACCATAAAACAAAAACAATTTTGGCAAAAACGGCAGGTCAAAATATTGATTTTACACAAATTTGCGGCCGGTCAAAGTTCAAAAGTACCTGGGAGCTTATGTCCGTTCAAAATGACGGCAGAGTTTCATGCGAATCCATCAGTAAACGTTTGTAATACCAAGTTTCCGCCATGTTTCCGCCGCAACTGTAGAGTTATTCAGAATCTCAAAGATCCAATTAAAGGTTAGTTTTTCTCGTGCCAAAATACCCCCTGGTACCAAGTTTCGTGCAAATCCACCGATACCCAAGGAGCAGTGATCGCAATAAATAGCGATTTTATCGATTGATTATCGCGATTATATCAGTGACAATTTATCGCAATATTATTGAATAAAAAATTTCGATTTATGGCAATTAAATCGCTATGCATCGCAATTTTTTGTTCAATAAAAACGCGATCAATTTTCGTCAGTAAAATCGAGATTAAATCACCATATATTGCGATTTTTGTTGCGATAATATCGCGATAAATTGCCGGGCGATAAAATCGCGATTTTATTGCAACAAGATCGAGGATAATCGCTGACCTGTTGATGATCTTAGCGATTTTATCGCCGACAAAATTGCAACAAATCGCGATTTTTCCGTTGAAAAATGCTACTTGGGTAAACAACCTAAGTAAATATTCACTTTCCGTTCTATATCACATTTTGATCGACACCATTTTGAAGGGGATTTAATTCCCAGGGGAAAAAATGCTAGAATCGTTTTTCTCGTCCTCATAAACCCTAGGATTCCAAGTTTCAGCCCAATCCAGCGATAAAAACGGAAACGCGAAATTCCCGTTAATTTCAACTTTGACAGGCCGCCACTTTGTGAGAAATGAACATTTTGACCTGCGCAGAACTTAAAACACGCAAATCGGAGATAATTCCAAAAGTACGTTTGTTATTTTCCTGTGCGACCTTCACACAACGCCCAGTCTCCTGGGAAGAATGATAGATAGTTTAAAAGCAGTGAGGGAAGTCTACACGGTACATCAACGGTCTCCTTAGCTTAGAATGAAAGAAGATAGCTTGCAAGTCTGTTCAAATATTGTCAGTGAAAACAGGCTGTGAGTGGTCGGGAGATGGAGATTTTAGCGTACCTCATCCGTGAGGACCAGTCCTTACGGAAACTAACCTAACCTAACTAGAAAATATGATCTCTTTGCCAAACGTAACTGAAGAACAGGGTCTGTTCCTCACTGAACCTAATCAGACTGTATTCTCCAGATTTGGTATAGACTGGAGTACAGGTTTATCCATTTTAGTGTACAAAATATGAGCCTTTGAAATACTCCATAGGGATTAAGGGAAAGTGTATCGAGTAGGAAGAAGCAAAAACGATTAAGAGGACGAAGACCCAAAAATTAGTCTTGTGCAGCAGACAAAATAAAAAAGTTAGCTAAATATAAAACACGGGACTTGGGAAACAATAAGGAGCTTGCCCTACCGGTCAAATTCTTAAATTTTTGCAATTTTTGAATACATTCAACCAAACTCTGCCATACATTATGGAGGATTACTGTTGATAATGACTATGGTTAGGAATCAAGGAGGACACACAAAAAAGCATCGAAATTGATAGACATCGGGAGACTTACGAAGATATCTATTTCATCAGAGCCAAATAAATAGTGCTGAGTGTCTTTTGTAGAGTTTGTATCACATCCACGCACTTCCGAGTCTTGACTTGATGCAGCTGGAAAAGATTCAATCTTATGCTTTGACAAGCGTGTATCTGCAATGTTCAGCTCAAGGCCTTTTCCGCTCGTTTCATCAGAAATTTTCTTGACAAGCTTTACTTTGTTTTGATCTTTCTCTGCTGTGGATAAAAATAACGTCTGGATAAATCCGTGTAAAGCCTGATTGTTTGGAAGTTTTCCTTCCAATAGCTGAATAATCTCCGCTCGATTTTCCACCAGTGATTTAAGTGGGAAAACTATACCATCATCCAGATTAACTGACTCGATTCCTGCATGCGTTTCTGTTGAACCGGATTTACACATAAGAGCACTTACTTCATTATTGGTGCAGGAGCAGTCTTCATTTTTTATTATCGAATTAAATGAGTTTACTTCCTTGTTTAGAGCATTTTCTTCAGAATTGACTAAGACACTGACAGCAATCGGGGCCTCTTTCTCTAAGGCAGCCATAGCATGAGGGTTGGCATCATCACAATCCACGTCAGCAGGCTCAACGCTCACAATCTTAGAACAGACAGTTGTTTTGTGTGCCCTGAAATCAGATTCAACTCTGCAATCGATAGTGGGATCGATTTCTACATTTTCGGTTTCATAATGTTTTACCTTGCATATTTTAGAGTTTGGATTTTGAATCTCTTTTATAGGTGCATCACTGAATGGAGAGGAAGATTTTTTTCTGTCTAAATTTAAAGATGTTTTAGTTTCGAAATCACCCGATGGAACGAAGCTTGATGGTTCAGTGAATGTTAACGAGGGCATTGAAATCTCCTTTACCGCAACGTTCATAGGTTTGGAAGACATAGGATTAGGTGAGGATCTTCTTTCGACTTTAGGAAAACGGAGCTTTGACTTTTTTTTAGATTTAATGGTAAGATTGGGTACTTTACTTCTGGTTACATTACCTTTTGCAACGGGTTCCACATTTAGCCTGTTTGATTCGGTGGTTGATGTTGCACCTGACCTTCCTACCACTTTACGAATTAAAAAATTTGGTCTGGGGATATTAGAGGCAAGCTTTTTGGTACGCATATTCTCCTTAGGTTTTGTCATTTTTATTGGACTACTTTCCTTAATTGGTTGATAATCTTTACCAGAATCGTCAGAAACTGAATTCTTTCTGTAATTATTGACAGAGCTTGATGGTTCAGAGTCAGAATGTGCTTTAGATCTAATCTGATTCACTCCAAATTTAGTTCCGTTATGGCTGTTTATATCCTTTCTGTCAACAGCCAGAACTGTACCTTCAGTATTCTTAATTTCTGTAGAAGTTTCAGAGGCAATAAATATCAAATCTTTTTGAAATTCTACGCTGTAAGTATCAGAGGTTGGCACCAATTGTTCATTTAAGGACTCAGTTTGTTCTGATATATTGCCGACCGATTCACTTTCATCGATTATCATTGAAGAACTTTCGTAAAATATTTCAGAGTCGGAAAATTCATCTGCCTTTCCTTTCTCTTGCTTGTGTAATGAAACACAATCGACTTCATGGGACTTTGATTTGGTGAGGATTTTTACTTCTTTATCTTTTACGTCATTATCTACTCCAAAATTGACTGTTTCATGAGAAACTTCCATGTACAATTGAGGGATAACTTTTTCACGATCAATATTTGAACTTTTCAAATTAGTAGAGGCACCATTCCTAAAATGAGACTCCTTTGCATCATCATAGTAAATTGTGGATAAATTAATTTGATTCTTGCTGACGTTGTTGACATCAGCATTTAGCACTTTAATATTAGTATCACTCAAATCACAAACTGACACAGTTCGGTAAGGTTGGAAATTTGACTTTAAAGCGTGAGAGAACCCTTCTTTGGCATAGCTTTGCCGATTTTCGGTTGGCATATTTTTCTTCTCTATGCCTTGACTTTCAGGTGCACTGGAAATAATGAAATCAGTAGCACCTTTTAGCGATGAAAGAGGTAGTTTGCGTATCCCAGTGTCAGAAAAAGCTAGATTTTCCAGTAAGTTTAATGTTGAGCTCTCCTCTTCTACACCTTTCTCAATAAGATTTTTGCAACACTTTTGTTGCATACATTTTTGTGGACCCAGTTTCAAAGATGCACTGAGAACATCATCATTATGAGAAAAGAAGTGAATATTTTTCAATCCCTCCATGCACTCTGAAAGTTTCGACTGCTCTGTTGATGGATCATTAAAGTTCAGCTTGCTTCCTCTTTCCAATTCTGCATATTTACTGAGATTGTAATCCTGACTGAGAAGGCCACTCACCTTTTTTGAATTATTCAGTCGATCAATTTCCGAAGATGATTCCGCATTTTCAAAACTATCTGTAACAAAGTTTACACTAGGACCATGAGGACAAGTTCAGCTTCAATTCTATAAGGTACTTTATAAAGTGTGTACAATTCTCATTAAAGAAAATACTGTTTGTGCACAGATTGATGAAGTAGCCATGATAAATACAACGCTGTGTACGCCTGGTAAAAGTAAAACATGATGACATCATAATGATCACCGTGATCAGCACTCAGACGTCGTTATAATTTCATAATGAACATAATAATGTCACAGCAACATCACAATGGCCATAATGACAGAGCACATCCAACACTTTATCATAGTGACAAAAACAGGGTCAGAAAGACCATCAGTGTGACATCGTTATGACCAGGGGAATCACGGGCGACCGTCATTGTGACATTGTTATGATTGAAACAGAGTCAAAGTAAGAGTCAGTCTGACGCTCTTACGACTGAGGTACCTATGTTGCTATGCTCGTGGATGTGATCAAAACAGTGACTAATTTACCCAGAAGGTAATCAGTATAATGATGGTGCTTAAGTATAAAACGGCAAACAAAGAAGTGCCAATTTTTGTGTATTTTCCGAGCTATATAAACTATTTTTTTTCTTTCAGTTAAATTATACCTATTAATTATTCGTGCTACATTTTTCCTTCCCGTCATGCTTCACGTCGTAGAACAATTTTAATGATTTCATATTTTTCCTTAGATTTACAAAGGTATTTATCCCAATTCTTTTGTAATTTATTTTTCAAGAACTTAATTTTTCCCTCTTACTCCTCAATCATAGCTTATTTAACTACATTTTTCCACGTTAGGTAAAATGCTGGAGTACAGGATTCAAGTTTGAAGAATGTTTTTGCCAGTAACCAAAAGATCAATGTTTGATCAAATACTATATTTTACCTTACAGCACATGTAGCACATTTATTGTCAAGTTTATGGTCTCCTCCCTCTATGTCAGGTAAAGAAGAACAACATACTTATCTTGATTACCGTAAATGTCCAAGGTCTCCAGTAGCAAACGTTTAATAAGTAATATTTTGTTAAACAATTTTTTTCCTTCACTACGCATCAGTAGGTAATGCATAACAAAAAAAATAATAGCCAGATCAACGGGAGATACTTTCTTCCACCTTAAATGGATATGAAGCATAAATGAGAACGTGCTCATGTATTAAAAATATACATTGTATCAGCTATACCACTCTGATGGAAGGACAATGGCATCACAATGATCTCACGTCATAGCAACAACACATTGATAAAAAGATAGCGACATCACTATGCCTTATGAAACAAATGTAGAGTCTCGGATGATCGTCATAATGACATCACAGTGACAATTTCTGTCACTATGACGTCATAATAACCGTCATTTAAACAATGTGATTCGTAAAGCATAGTGATGTCGCTATGACTAAAAAGTCATTATGTTCCACTTTTACCAGGGACAAACGTCATGTTTTTCTTGTATTCTTTTCTAAAAGTTAAGTGAATAGGTTCCCCCTACCCCAAACAAACCCGGACAGACCCTGTGCTTCAAAAAATAAGTTACCGAATGAGCTGAATATGGTTTAATTTGTAGGTTAGAGTAATGAGGAATGGATTAAAACCGACATTTTCTTGCCTGAACAAAAGTTGCTCAAGTTATTAAAGTTCGAATAAGAGTTGTAAGTACCTAAGGCAACCGCCTAGACTTTCTTTTATTAATCATTGGCTCTGACAGAGATTTGCTGCTAAAACTTGACGAAAACCGGGGTTTCCCAGCCTTTAATGTGGCTTGTCTGCGCTGACTGGTTGTCGTAAGACTCAACACCTGACCATAATTTTAATTTTCCGTTTTGAGGTTTTATCCTTCATGTGAGTATTTTTTTTTTCACACGCTGATTCTAAGACCATCCGAAAAGTAAGGCATCAACTTTGTATCTTTCGAACGGAAAGAAATAAATTAAATTGGTAAAAAAGTTCATGTTAAGCATACTAATCTTTAAAACAAACCCAAGTCTTAGGAAATCGGCCATTGGTGGGAGGTTCAAGAGAAAACTTTATTTCATTATGATACAACCTCCTGTCACCGCGTGCTCACCTCCGACCTCCGCATGCGCAAATAGTCAACTACCTCCTTCCATCTCCGCGTAATGCCGCCAAGCATCACACCAAGAAGGACTTAAAAGGTTTTATTGAAGTAATAATACAGAAATAAACTTATAATAATGAACTTGCAAGCAAGAAAGTTTGCTCACTTACCGCTGATGGACAATTTTGAAATATCGCCACTATCATTATCCACGCCCTGGGAAGGTCCCCATATTCTCATCAAAAACGGCTTCAACTGACTCTTATTCAATTCTCTTGAGGCAGCATTCAAATCACCATGATTTGCTGTTAACACTGTAACGATGTCTTCACGAGAAAATTCTCCTCGAGAAACTAATTCAGAATACTGGAAAACATAAAAATTGTACAATAACCACACATGGCAAGAGAGCTATATATACAGTTCAACAAAGAGCAAATATGTCTCTATCTCACGTAATCTTAGAATGAAGATAGCTACAAATGGGAAAGAGTTTTACCCAGTGAAAAGCTTGCCGTCTACCTAGTTAATGGTCTGGGCTTACTTCTGTGCCATCGGGAGAAAGTTTCTCCGATGGCACAAAAAGAAAAAAACTTCCTTACTTTTATAGTACTTCACTTGATATGCTTAGGAAGGTACTGGCAAACTTGTCTTATTCGAACATATTTCTACCAAACGGAACTAAGTAAGCGCCAAATTTTCAATTTTCAGTTTTTATCGAATTTGGATTCTTCATCACCTAGGCAACTCTGAGGTATTAGTATGTCCCTAAAAAATTCATTTCATCTCGTAGGAGTAGCGAATGAAAAATCGTAAAACGGGAAATGGGGGATGACGAATTAAATCAAACGAAACTGGGTAAACGTGGTTCTCATTGATTTAATGCGCTGACCAGGATACCGCGTTCTGTCAAACAGAAAGAGCTTGATGCAAAAACGGCTTTTTTTCGCCCCCCCCCCTCTGAAATTTCTTCAGACTTTGTCTATTGATTACTCATACTTGAGCGCTTCTTTTCCCAAATTTTCAGATCCCCAAAAAATTTTGGGGGGGAGCTAGGGGGGGCGGAAGTCAAAACCTGTGAACCTCGATATCTCTCGAACGAAGAAAGAAATCGAGGTCCGGTTTGGACGAAAAATCGTCTAAAATTGCATAATTTAAGATTCTAAAGGTCGAAATCCCGATATCACATTTTTAAGTCAACATATGTGCTTTTTTCCAGTTTTTAGGTCTAGAAAATTTCTTTTAAACGAAAAATTTACAAAGATCTCAATTTTTTATTAACCCGATTTCTGGAACCCTATATATCCTGGGATAAATCTCCGTTTTCGTCGATGGATTGGGATGAAACTTGGTTTTCAGAGGTTTTTTGGAACGAGAGAAACGATTCTGGCATTATTTTTCCGCAAAATTTTTGTCCTTTTCAAAATGGCGGCGGTCAATATGGCGACCTTGAGCGGCAAGAGAATATATTAGGCTGCTTATCGGTGAATTTGAATGAAACTTGGTATCAGGGGGCATTTCGGCATGAGAAAGATGAATGTGTCATTGGGTTTTTGAAATTCTAAATAACTTCAAAATGGCGAGGAAAATGGTGGAAACTTGGTATTACGGACGTTAACGGGTGGATTCGCATGCTGCCATTTTGAAAGTATTTGACATATTTTCTTTTTTCATTTGAGTCATATTTTGTCGAACCAAAAACCAACAGGACTCTGAGTTCCATTCGCATCCAACCGTGAACGTCCGTAATACCAAGTTTCCGCCATTTTGCAGATGTAAAAGGATTGATAAGCATAAAACTGCATTTATCCCGTTTAATCTAAATTCACCCTAATCCAGTAACATTCATCCTTGCCGGACAAATAATTAGATTTTAAATTAATTGAATTTTGAATAAATTAAATGTGTCGAGTTTTATGAATTGAGATTCAGATAAAAAAAATCTGATCACACATTGGTAGGTTATAGGTTATGTTACATTTTTTTGGTTTACTGGATCAAGGATCAAGACCCCCTTCACGCTCTTCACCCCTCACCATAAATTGTGCTGAAAACTTATCAAGTGGATTGCCGATCTCTCCAATAAAAAAAATAAAAAAAAAAGTTCAATACTTTTCCTCCTCCCTCCCTCTCACGTTTCTAGCTATTTTTCAGTTAAGTTTTCCAAAGGATGCCAGGATGCCTGTCTTCCCTACCACCATGTTTCCTCAGAGCAGGTAATATCCCCCTTTTCAGAGGTGGCGCCGTGCTTCTCCGCCGAAACAATACATTTTTAAACATTTGAAATTCTATTTTTCTGCATTTTAAATATCATTGCTACCATTCTCACTCATGTGTTACCTTAATTCCCCCCCCCCTCTACTCATGTTTCCACATATTTACATTGTATTTATGCTTTTACATTATCACTTATCGCCTTATCACAAGAGGATTTAACTTGATCCATCTTGATAATGTCGTAATGAGGCTGATGAAATTAGATATTTCTGAATAAATCATGATAGATCATCGTAACACTTGCATAGTCATGGTAATTTAATATCTCCAGTGTTGTTCTTGCCCTCCTTCCATGATTTTGTCCGGTTCTAATGTAATCCTCCTCCCCCCCCCAATAAAAAAAATTTCAAAAATGCGTTGGTCCGTTTTGAATTTCAATTGTATTTTTGTACTAATATCTTTAATTACGACATTGAGTGTTTTAACAACGCATCTGTTAATGATTTATTTATCTATTTATTATGGGGCGGGACGGGGGTGGCGGATCTGGCTGAAATGGGATGTAACTCGGAACATCGGGATCAAATTGAATACATGCAGAACAACCGGCATAAAATGGTATAAACTGAAGAACGTGGGAGGAGTGTTGTTAAGAGGGGGAAAATGAGCAAGGGGATATAAGTTGAATAGCGGTATCATCGTAAAATTTCCCTGTAACTCGGAACGCATGCATTTAAAAAATAGCATTTTACCAAACAGGAAAAGATTACATTAACGCCATTTTAGTTCGCCTTAAATTTCAAGGTAGGCAACACGAGTTTCCACGTGGTTGAATGGCGGTATTGTCGTCGTGAAATGACAGTTTGCCTTCAATTATTAGTGTAGTCGACACAAGCTTCCACGTGGTCGAAGAGTGGTATCATCACCAGTGCAATAGACGTTCTCTGTCTGCTAATTTGTTTCTATGTCATGCCAGGTCCGCGTTTGTCAGTAAAGTAGTTGCTCCTCTTGACTATTCTCCATTAAGCTGTTTTCATTTTTTTTTACTTCCCGTCCGAGCGCATGAGCATGAAAAGAGAGATGAGGATGATGATTATGATGCTGATGCTAATCATGATCATGAAGAAAAAGGAGAACAACGAATGGTGCAGAACAAGAAGAGTGAAAGAAAATAAGCTAAAATAAATTTAGAGAGAAGAAGAAGATAATGAAAGTGGGAGAGCTTCTCTGTCAAGAATTTTTTTGGGACATAAGATATCATAAAAATGGGTGAAATCTGTACCGAAATAGTTTCAAGGGACATCTACCCATTTAGGTGTTGGTAAATTGCACTTCAAATTCAATTATTATTCCTTTTAAAAAATCCACCGTAATACTGTGTTTTACAGGAATCGGTCGGATGAGCGCCGGAGATAACTTTTGGGTTACATCCTCCATCTTGGATTTTCTATATTCTGAAAATTAACTCTAAAATCACAGCTTTGGTCCAAATATACTGTAGATTAAAAAATCTCACACTACCCAAAAGAGATTGAACGGGCGCCAAGACAGCAGAAAATTGCACATAGTTCTGTGTTTGGTAGAAATACGTCCACTTTTGGTCCATTGCCTTCATGAAAAGTAAAATACAAAATACCACAAAACTCAAATCTATATAAATAAAATCGTTGGGAGTTTCACTGTAACGCTTATTTCTGGAGTTCTACCGGACCGATTTCAACGATGCTTGACTCTGGTGAAAGCCCTTGACGTCCCGATGTCCGTAAAACTTTCAGACTTCCCAATTTTTCAGCCTCTTTCGCTCGAGACGCTCTTAAAGCCAAATCCACCCCCCTCCGACCTTAAGTTTCCGAGAGTTGCGGTATGTTTCCGTTGTGGCGCCTAATTTGAGAGATCTACCGGGGCGACTTTTACGATTTTTGGGTCGACTGGAAGCTTCTAGCTTCCAGATGCTCGCAAAACTGTCAGACTTCCAGATTTTTCAGACTATTCTTCCTGAGACGCTCTTAAAGCCAAATCTACCCTCCTCCGGCCTTAAGTTCCCGGGAATTGGTGTATGTTCCTGTTGTAACGCCTATTTTGAGAGATCTACCGGGGCGATTTTTACGATTTTTGGGTAGATTGAAAGCTTCTAGCTCCTAGATGCTCGCAAAACTATGAGAATTTCCAATTTTTCAGCCACATCTGTGTAAACCGCTGAGAGATGCAAATAGACCCCTCTCCATATTACTACTACACGGCCTTCACCCAACGCCGAAGGTCAAACTCGGACTCTGTCTCAGCACTGCTCTGTCTGAATAAAAGGAAGCCGCCACAGCTATACGCGGTTCCATAAAACTGTCGAAGCGGCGCGATGACATGGGTTTTCCCGTCCTTATGTCTAACAACCCTCGAGACCGAGACTGCCCGCAGCCTTACTGTCTCATATGTCAAACAAAATCTGACCCTCAAAATTTAAAGACAGTAAACATGCAATTTTTTCTATCATTCGGAAATTTTTTTTACAGTGTACATTTTTCGATTCGCGGTGAAATTTTGAGCAGAATGGTGGTCAAACTAATGAAAATACATGATACTACGGTAAGATCGGTACCACAACTGCTGCATTTATAACTTGCTGAACGATATTTCCGTTACTTATCATCATATCACGACGAAATTTAGTTCATTGTAATAAACTTTTTTAGTAGAACGTAAAACTGAGAAAGTTGAAATCGAACCCGATGAGAGAAATTTCATCAATTTTTTTGGAGCTCCACTAGGCCGAGCAGGAAGGGAAAAAAGGATGACGAATTGAGATCTAGTGCTGCCGCCTGGTCTCCTGACTCATGTCCAGGCCCAGCTATTCTTGAACGCTTTGACGAGATTTTGTCGGCAGACAAGTCAAAACATGATTTTCCGACCAGGGAGCGACATCCAAACTTCGCGCTAATGCTCTCATTGTATTTTTATTGGAGTTATGTCCGAATACTTTGAAAAAAGCTGAAAATGGTCTCTTTTTTAAAGCGCAGTGTTTGCAATTCTGCCCTGCTAAGGAAGAACGACTTATGAACATTCGAGAGTTGCCAAATTTTCTTCGATAAAATGTTTATTTTTCAGGAAAATTATGAATATTTTCCCCATGAAATTTTCAGACGTTTTAGATCAAATTAAAAACAAAATTATCCTAGAAATTGGTAGACAAGCATTCAAAAATTTTCCTGAAATTTAGTGGTTTTCCAGGGGAAATTTGGTATCGTCTGAAGACTCATACGGCGTTCTTCCTTATCGCTGCAGAATTATGTTCGTCCCTCCCGTTACCCCTACATCAGCCACCTTTATCGAAGAGCAAAGGAAAACCGTGGGAAAAAACAGGAAACAAAATGTTTTCAGGACTGAATTGCTTCTTCTGAGTTGCTCCGAAAATCAGTCTATTCGTGTACGCTGCCAACTTAGCTGCATCCTGCATCTCGAGAGCAACACAGATTAGATTTCGAAATCTCGCGACTTTTTGAGAGGTTGCCCATCGCTCATCTGCTTTCGTCGGATACGTTCTTTTACGGTTATGTTAGTTGATCAATGGGTACTTAACAATATCTGCTAAATTTTTCTTTCTTTTTTCACGGAACATTTCCGATTTGTGAGTGTCCGATACTGAGTGATACTATTTTGCCTCTGTATTCGCGAGATACGTTCTTTTGCGGCCGCACCAGTCGATGAATGGATATTTAGCAATTTCTATTCATACTTTCTTTCCTTTCCTTTTTTTTACGGAATATCCTCGGTTTTTTAGTGTCCAACCCAGTGTGAGGCTATTGTACACCTGTTTTCGCCAGAAACGTTCTACACAATTTCTACTCAATTTTCTGGGTGCAAATGTGCGAGATTGTTGCGTCCTAGGCATGAAATTTGTCTCTTTCTAGTGCGTCTACTAATTAATGAGTCTAATAATTTACACATTCAAACAATTCACTCGAATTTTTTACGCAGAATGTTCCTTGAGTGAGTAGCTAACGACTAGGAGGAGTAACTCCAAATTTACATGTATTTTGCCGGTCAGTGCCGAGTAACCGAAAATCCCTCTTTTATAAGGTAATACGTTTTGTACCCCGTTCGTTCATAAGTCTGTGGCTTTGGCGTGGTGTTGGCTGAAGTCCTGGAGGACGCCAGTGAGCTACTCCTACTGGCCAATACCAAGTGCGCAGGGCTTACATTGTCATATTCCGGAGGGACTTCGCCTTTTTTAACTCACAGTTAATGCCCCCCCTCCCCGAAGAAAAATCCCTTACAGGAAAACTATCCATAATGCTTCCTGGCAATTTCACGTAATTTCGTTTTTCTTTTGAAAATTTACAAGAAAGATCATTACGGAACTGAAAACAGGTAAACTAATTTAGGAAGGAATGCCTCTCGTATTCATGTATTCAGAAAAGAGTTCTTATTGGATTACATTACTTTATCATCTTTTTGCATTTACGGCACGGAATACGGCTCGCTTGCGAGCCGTAAGTCACTCGCGAAGCGAGTGACCGGGGGTCCAGGGGGCGGAGCCACCGGCTAGACGCGAGGCGAGCGAAGCGAGCCACCTCGGCTAGTTAAGAATATAAAAAATATGAAATAGAAAAGGACGTGTTTATAAACTCTGGAATAGAAGAACTCATAAACCGGTTTCTCCTCCACTCCCCGCTCCCCTCCCACCGCGCACGCTCACATGCTTCCCGCCGCACAGTGGGACGAAATGGGTAAAACCTCGGACATGGGGTGTTCTCATGTTTTGCATAAAGATGTGATGGAATGTGTTCCTAAGGATCCATATTTTATGAATCTAGTGTTGGTTTAATGATTTTGTCAAATACTTTTGCCCTCTGGACTCCTGAAGTTGACATTTTCTGTAACGGCCGATTTTGCTGTGTTTTCTAAGGTTGGTTTCCATACCTGCCTCTTCGAGTGGCAGCAACTGACACAAATATGAATGCTTGGATCTTATTTTAGGGTGTATGAAGAACATATTTCACTATTAAAAAGTTAAATTTACTCAATTCTATACGTTGTAATGTTTGATCAAAGATGACCCTTCCGAAAATAAGAAAATAAAAGTTTGAATAGACTTTTAAAAATTTCGCCGCATTTCGCCGTCCAATCATGCATAAGGCGTGTTCCAGTGATCCCTCAGGATGAGGAATCCGTCGTATTTGGCTGCCACCAGCTGCCACTTTGAAAGTTACATCGATTTTTGTCCGAAAAAGTGAGGACGGAATTCGCTGTTTCTCTACATCTAGCTGAATTATCTTGGCGTCTTAATACACTTAGTCTGATTTTCATTTTAAAATTTGATGTACTTACAGTATTTTCATCGTAGAATTCAATTTTGACCTTACTTTTGGCCATTTTTGGGCCAAAATTCATCATTCGAGAGGTTCGCGAACTCGCGATCGAGGCGGGGAAACAGAGCTGTTTTTGTTTTTATCTTATGTGATTATTTGGCATTTTAAGGAGGAAATAAAAATGCTGAATGTTCTATCAATACCTTTGAATGAATTATTCATCATAGTAGGGGTTACACCTCCTGACCACTTTGCAGCCCAACATCCCGAAGCGCTTGGCGCTGCAGGCGCGGTATAGATAAAATCCTATACGAAGCGTTGGAAGTGTCCCAACTGATCCTGAGATAACGTGATTCGTGATATGAGATGGACCGATTTACCGTGCAATTCAATCTCGTTGACAGTGTTGATCGTTTAATTCTAAGTTTCGTTTATAGGTTTTGTGCCCTGCAATGGCTATGTATTAACTTAAATTTGTACAAAGCAAA